CTGTTCTGACACATTTCAAGCTTCTTGAGATAGGAAAAGCATTTTTTCATAATTTATGCAAAAGTACCACAATCAATCATTTCATGCATACCCAGAAAGATACTTCCACTCATCTTAAAAATAAATAAATAAAACAAGAAAACAAACAAAAACCCATAACTTGGAGTCATCTGAATTGGGAGTGGTCTAGAACTACAATAGTTTACTCCTTGACCTTCAAACCTACATTTTAGCAGGAAAAATGAAAACTAATGCTCTAACAGTAAGTCTGGTTTTAGCAAATTTTAAAAAAACCTCAAACATAAAAGTATTTTGTATAAAAGATTCAAGTGGTTTCATACCAGACACTGTGGCATACATGTGTAGTCCTAGGTACTTGGGAGGCTGAGGCAGGAGTCTCACTTGAGTCCAAAACTTCTAAAGCAAGTTGGGCAACAACAGCCCATACCATATCTCAAAAAACAAAAAAAACCAAAAACATTCAAATGGTTTGAGTTCTTTTATTATCCAAATAAAATATGGTGATAATTATGAGGATTATTATTGTATTACATCACTCTAAACTCAGGATAAACAACTAAAATCAGGGTTTGCTTAAATAGCGGTTATCTTAAAAAAGAACAGTACTATTTAGCACAGCCTCATTTGTACAATAAAACATTACCTCCCGTTGTGGTATCATGATTTACTTGTGTCCCTCATGTCACTTGCTTTGGGAAAAAACATGTGAAAAATCTTTGTGACATTTTCAGTTTCTTCAAAAACCTAAGAGACATTGTGTGCGTGTATGCATAGTTTCATCTAAAAATGGAGGAATTTGCAATTCCTTCTTGTGCATAAAAATGAATTTTAATATGCTACAGTAGTTGTTATCTAGAGAGAAGCTATTTGTTATTTTTGTTACTAGTGGAAAATGCTAATTTAGAATTCCCACTTAAATAATGCTATTCTTTCTCATACTGGTGGTTGACAGCTGTCATCTTCTGTTATTTGTAAATCCCAATTAAGTCAACATATATGCTTCACACCCCTCTTGTAGGACGGTGCGATTCAAGAGTGCATTTTTAAGCTAGTGAGGTAGTGTCTTTTCCCTCTGGCATCAAAGTCAATAAATAACATCTCTCTAGATAATAGAAATAAGGAGATAGCATTAATTTGTACAGTAAAACAGTGGTATTATAAGGTCTAAAATATGGTAGAAATTTCATTATACTATGGGCTTAATGTATTTCTGTAGCCTAGCTTCTCAAAGCACAGAGAGAATGATCTATCAGAACTTCCCTGAAAGCAAAGGGGATGGATATATTCAGTTATTAATACAACCAACTCTATCTCTGTTGAGTTCTGTATGTTGAGATCCTGGACCGAGGGACACTTCACACATCTGCTTCGCTAGTATCTAATAATTCACCATTATTTTTAATGCTTTTACTTTGAGAGCCTACCTCCCTAAGGGACTGTGTTAAGTTGTGAACATTTCTTTAAAAAGTGAAATATCCAGTCTTATATCCATGACATAGATAAGCTTATGATAATGCAGGCTTGAGTACTTCATGAAAGAGAACAGTGGAAGAAGGAAATATGGGGAAATGCTAACCAATTTCACTCCTCTCTTCACCATGTGGTCATGCATGACAACACTACAACTCCTCCCAATCTATTATCCCAGGTCAATGTTCAGATTTTTATGCAGATTCAAAAAACCCCTTTTATCGCAGCATCTGCTACAATTCTTTTCATTTTTGCCACAAAAGATAAATCTAATGAAATTTAGGTAGTAAATAATAATTTAAGCAATATTAACTAATTTTCTCATTTTCACTCTAAAATCCAAAAATATTGAAATGTTTAACTTTTTTTTGAAATTAGAAGAAAAGGCCTTTAAGAAATATTTGCATATGCTCCAAATCAACAAACTATACATTGGTGTGTACAGGTGATTGATTATATGTCAACATCCTTCAATAAAGCTGTTATTAAAAAATCAAATCAGTTGATAAATAGCCATGGAAATATATCATGTCCTTTCCAGATCTACTCTGAATCTAACAATGTCTATTTGGAAATTCTCATGGAAAAATAAGCTTTAGTATAACTAGATTCAGACAACAGCAGCCAGTTGAAAATCAAACTAACAGTGAAGCAAGAAACATAACAAAACTATCATCCCCAGAAAAACAGCAAAAGAAATGACTTTCCAAATTCCTAACCTAGTATTCAGATGCTATTTTACCATCAACAATTGATTACCCCAAGTTCAAGATTACATACTTTTTCCCCCTTTTCACAGTAAAAATGTGCTACAAGAGATACCTATATTTGCTTTGTCAAAAAGGGCAAATGTACACATGTATGCCATAATACTGAAAAACCACTCAGTTTCTGTACAAAACTAAAAGGCAACTGTTGCATGTAGAATCTGAAATGAAAAAAAAATGCAGCATTCCTCAAAAATAAAGCTCAGTGAGTGTAAAGATAGATAAAAATGAAACTGGGTTGCCAACCACTCCTGCACAATCTCTGTGCAGCATCATTTGAGCAACGAAGTTTCTTTTAGTTTTTTTTTACTTTTATTGTTGTGCTGAGTGGGGATACATTGGGGCATTTGCACAGGTTCTTACAATGTATTAAGTAAACCAAGGGTCTGACAATAATGGGAGACATGCAGCATACAAATAAGTTCAGTGGAAACAGTTCATATTGTGACTATCAATCCTCTTCTAAATGACAGATTTAGCTATTATTCTCTGAATTCCTCAGTCCAAGTTGTTCAAACTAATAAGAACATATCTCCAAATGAAGGGTTATCTAATAGACTAAAGGAAAGGAACAACTAGGATTTTCATCAGGTCATGGACCTGACTCACTGCAAGCAAGAAGGGCTTAACCCTTCTGCTTTATGTTTGTTCCCTTGAATGGGGAATTTTAAAAAGAAGTCTCCCTGAAAGTAAAGTATTAGTGGACAATTATGGAAATGGGTAGTTAGAGGTCTGACCAAAAATGGCAGTGTCCAATAGCTAAGACGCAAGAAACAGAGAACAAAAGTTTCAGTGTAATTAGTAAAAATCAACAAATCACTAAACACTGTAGGCACTTTACTAATACTCATATTAGTCTCACAGTTTATCCCACTGCCAAGTTTTTTAAACACTTGGTGATGCAGAATAAATTCTAATGCACACAACATTTCGTGAGACAATACAACCTTCTTGTAACTTGTAAAGTATAGGAGCAGAGACAAATACACAAGACAGCACAGACCCGGGAGCAAAATGTTCACAAGACTCATTCTGCAGAGCAAATCCTGCATAAATGCTCCTTAAAATGGTTGGATTTTATTTTGGAGCATCTGTGAGGTCATACGACTAATTAAGCTGTTAAAAAGAACAATAAATTAAACTGTCCTATACTAAACACGATAAACCCAGATCTGAGCATTTCTTTACTTTGAAATAATTACAGGGAACTGGAGGACAGGGCAACATAACTACTGAGTTGAATGCGAGCACCCGTGGCTCCTGCCTGTAATTCTAGCTACTCGGGAGGCTGAGATCTGGTGGATCACAGGCAAATAGTTAGTGAGACTCCATCTCCAAAATAACTAGAGCAAAATGGACTGGAGATGTGGCTCAAGTGGGAGAGCTTTGTAAGCACAAAGCCCTGAGCTCAAATCCCAGGCCTGCCAAAAATAATAATAACTAAATAAATACTGAGTTGCAATGAGAAGGCAAATCTGAAACTAAAGAGCAGACACAAGACAACAGGAAGAGTCGAGTGAGAAGGTCTGACTGCCTAAATGTTAATGTTTAACAAAAAACACAGGTTTTTACCCCCTCAAAGCAATCTTCTGTTTAGTGATCTGGATATCAAGAAAGAAATGCCATAAATGTTTCTTTTCTTAAACACAAAATTTTCAAAATTGATTCTAGCAACTGAGGATTGTATTTGGAGATAAAAAAGGAAACTAATTCCCTATTAAGGGGGAGAAATGACTTAAGTGTGGTACTGAGGCTGGGAAGAAGCACAGCTATCACAGAAAGCCACCACTTTACTGATGGGTTGGACACCTTGCTGTGGAGCCAGAGACCACAGAATTTAACAGCATCTTTCAAAATTCTCTGCTTGAGAGTTAGGGGTGATGACTTTCTTAAGGTTCAGAAAGACCTATAATCAGACATCATTTCAGGCTCTGGGAACACAGAACAAGATGGGACTTTTTTTTTTTCCTGACATTACTGAGGTTTGAACTCAGTCTCATCTCACACTTGCTATGCAGGTGCTCTTGAGTCATAATTCCAGTCTTTTTTGCTTTTATTATTTTTCAGACAGAGTCTCATGGTTTTGCCCAGGCCATACTTGGATCTTGATCCTCCAACCTATTCCTCCAGTGTAGCTGGAATTACAGACGTAAGCTACCATTCGTACCTATTAGTTGAGATAGGGTATTGCTAACTTTTATCCCAGGCTGGCCTTAAACCATGATCTTTCTGATTTCAATATCCTGAGTAGCTGGGATTATAGACATGAGACACCATGCCTAGCCTTAAGATTAGACTTTGAAGCCCATTCAAGTGTTTTGGTTGTTCCAGCTGAGGAGGGTATTTTATATATAACAGCACTGCTAGCCATAAAGAGACTTATTTTGGATCTGTTCTTATTGTCTTTTTTTATATGCAAAATAGAAAATACAGACATAGGAGGGAAATCCCATCAAGCATCTAAGAGTGTTCTCACAAAAGAGGAATCCAGCTCTGAGAACTGGACTTGAAGTGTATTCCCACAAGTGGGTCATCCTCCATGATTGATATTAACTCCAGTTCCACAATTTTACCTGCTCTTAAGTCTAAAAACTATTACTACTAAGTAGCAAATGTAAGCTTTTCATCTAATAAAAAAATGAAAGAGGAATTTTAATTGGCTCCTTATCGTCCAGAGGATAACAACAACAGCAAAAAGACTAGCCTATAGGCAAATAAGCTAGACAGGAGCCAGAACACGAGATGGACACAACACGAGATGGACACAAGGCCAGCAGACAGGAGGCTGTTGCAATGGTCCAGGTTACAGAAAAGGTCTTGGTATAAAGGTGACCAATGTGAGACATTCCAGTATATTTTGTTCCAAAATCATGCTTCCAATACTGAGTAACACAAATGCAGTATGACTCTGAGATATACTGACAAGTTATATTATTAGACTAGATTTACATCATCCAGCCATCATCCAGCATTAACGTGGAAGTATATAAATAAATAGATATTCTCTGTGTAGTGTGGGAGGAAAGACCTTATTCTGCTCCTCTGGCTGAATACTTTTTGGCTCACAAGGATGCAGACATAGACTATTTGGCATTTGTATGCATTTGGCCAATTTGAGCACTAACAGGATACAATGGAAGCTTTAAATTTTTGCTTAGAACCTTTTCTACTATTGCACTCAGGTTCAAGTGCAAACCCTTAACCAGGCTTAAAACATCTACTCACTTTACACTCTACAGTTCAAAGTTACTCAGTTTATTTTATGGTTGCATGTTCTAACTTGCTCCCAACCCTTTGTAAATGCACTGCCCTCTCCCTAAAGCATTCTCCTTTTTCTCATGTGAATAATGGTTTTGGAACCACTTTCTAATCGTGTGTATACTATTGCTTCTTCCACAGGATATGAAAGGTTTAGGCATCCATTCGAGATATGAGAATTATTGTCCCATCTCTTCACAGATTTTCCAGAGTGCATCAATGTCCAGAAGTGAACAAACTTATTGTGAAAGGTAGAATAAGAGGTACAAAGCTCTCAATAAGGCATGGAACCTCTTGGCATTCTTTGGATACTACTTCTTGTACATTTTTAGCATTTTAATGAATGAAACTATACCATCAGTGGACCTGTTCTGTTTCTGTGCATCTGCGTTGATTGCTTAAACCTTAATTGAGGAACCAATATTTCCCTTTTGTTTCTAAAAGCAGTAGAAAGTAGTGATTAAGAAGATAGATGTTATGTAGCCAAGCACCATTAGCTCACGTCTGAAATCCTAGGTGGAGATCAGGAAGATTGTGGTTCAAGTACAATTCCAGACAAAAAAATTCTCAAGACCCTATCTCAATCTATAGCTGGGCATGGCGCTGTGCATGGAAGACATAGATAGGAGGATTTCAGTCAAGGCCTGCCAGGGCAAAAGGAGAGAGACCTTATCTAGAAAATAACTGAAGCAAAAATGATTGGTGGCATGGCTTAAGCAGTAGAGCACCTGCCTAACAAGCTTGAACTCTGAGTTCCAATCACAATATCATTAAAACTAAAATCAAAACAAAACAAACAAACAAACAAAAAAGGGGAAGATTTCTCCAAGGTAAGAGATTTGTGTAGAGGTGGGTAAATTAGAGAGGTTGAGGAAATTCACACTAATTTGGAAGTCAGATAATTTGGATTCGAATCCTGCCCTCACTTTGTTTTTAGCTATGGAATTTGAACATAAACCACCATCACCTCTTTAAGCCTCAATATCTTCATCTGTAAAACAGAAAGAACATTTTCTGCATGTGAACATAGTTTGGTAGGAGAGTAAGATCAGATAATCCAAGTAAAATTCATATGTAGTGTCTGGTGTACAACAATATAACAGATGACCTTAAATAGTCATCATATCGTTATATCAATAATAGTATAACCGTTCAACATTCCAAACCTGCTGTTGCGTAAACAGTGCATATGTGTGCAAGAGACACATGGTAATAGGAAACCTGCACAGTTGTAGAAAGAGAAAAGAGAAAAAAATCCTTACACATGGTCATATTGAGGAGTCCAAAAAAATTCCTAAGACAACGAGACAGCTCTGGGAAAGTTCGATGTTTCAATTTATGCTTTATTTCTGTCTCTGCCTCATGGGTAAGGAGAAAAGCTAGGACAAGTACAAGGTGTTCAGAAAACTCAGAATCATTATACAGCTTGACATGGTAATTACAAAGTTTACAGGATTTATACAAAGACCAGGTAGCTTTGGTGATAAAGCTCAAAGCCATATATAAGTTAAACTACAAGTTACTAGGAACTTCCCAAGTCATAATCAATCTTCCTCTTTGAGAAAGAAGAAAGAACATCCAGCCAGGAAGATAAGGTGATACAGTAATTGTTTATATACACACATATCCCAGTTCTATAAAAGGTCAGTAAGAAACAAATCAGTCACCACAAGTCACTGTCTGTGCTGGGCAGCTTAGTGTCACTGTGTTGCTAAAAGGAAGTGCATATGTAGGTCCCATGGTGGGGGCATGAATCAAGTGAGCCCCTTGCCTTAAGGTGAGAATGGACTAGGAAGACTGAATTGAGAAAATGGCATTTGAACTAGTATATGAGAAGTGAAGAAAAGACACAGGATTTTTGTCTATAGGGGAGGAGAGTAGGTTGGTGAGAGGAGATGAGGATATTTCAGGTAAGTGGAGCATATAAGCATGCAGAAGTCTCAAACAAAATGAGGCAAGGCATTTCACAAGTAGCACAGAAAACAGTATCATTGGAGGAAAAAGTAAGGTACAGAAAAAGATGAAGGTGCAAATCAGGTGCATCAAGGCCATGAGTGATCATGTGAAGTATATGAGAATGTATCTTGAAGGGAGAAAAGAAGTCACGGGGAAGAATTCCGACGAGTGTACGGAGAATAAAAGGGAGTGTAGTATGTCTTCTTCTAGACAAGTTAAGAGGCTACTGAAGCAATCAAGAGATGACACCGACTCAGAAAAGATTCTTACAGAGGAGATGAGAACTGGATAAATCTGAGCTATATGTGGGTAGCAGCATTTATGGGATTTGAGGATTGAGGTTATATGGGAAGTAAGAGAAAGCAGTCCAGAATTACTCCCAGTTAGGGAAATAGTCCTTCCTGCTGTTCACCAGATAAAAGCCTGGCTTATTCTCATCAGGTGCTAGGAGTGGCTCAGAAATCTTTATGAGATTCTAGGATGCTATCTAAGTATCGGGTTGGAGATTATCTATCAAACTCAACTTTGTGTGGCAAGTTCACTTAATTTAACTTTCAAGTCAAGTCTTAAAAACAAGTTTAAACTCCAATCCCAAGTGGGGCTCCCATATGACAGCTTTAGCCTGTTTCTGTCACATAATTCCTGCTATGGAAATATTTTAGCCTTGGGATCTCATTTTTGTTATTTCTAAAATAACTTTATGTGAGACTTGGCAATTAACAATCCACCCTCGCCAATTTCCTGTAACTGCTGCTTTTGCAGTTTTCATGCTCTGAATTTAGAGAATAAATATCACTTATCTTCATGCCAAACTTGGGCTGGGATTTCAGAGTCCAGGTAAAATAGGTATATATCACACTCTCTAGTTTGTTTGTGTCCCAGTCACTACTTTTGACATTTGAGACCTGGAGATGCTGAGGTGAATTACCAGGACTCTCATTTTTCTGTCATTTGACAAGCACTTCTGGATTTATGAAACTTATTGTCACAGATTGACTATCAAAGATTGGCTATAATCTGTTGCAGTGGTCATCATTTGCTTGTTCTTGCTCTAGCACTTTCCTATACTTTTTTACTTCACAACATCAGCAGGGTAAGTTTTAGAAAAGAAAGTTTCTAAAATCACCCTCATTTTTAATCATGCTGGTGGTTCTCAATCCTATAGAATGCTTACCTGTCTGTTCACAGACCTACTTTTTCTAACCTTACTGTCAACTCCTCACATCTGGTGATGTTCATAAATCCAAGACTGTGGTTGTTGAGTTTTTTTTAATTCCCTTTCTTACGTTTGATCTGTAAAATTCCTCATGCTTAAAAAAAAATTCTTTCTTTATGAGACCTTTCCCACTTTTCCGTCTCTAGACTGAATAATTTCCATAATAAACTATAATTTTAAAGAAAAACACTTTGGGGATGAATTATTGTTTGGTTTACTGTCTCTGCAATTAAAACATGGAAAAATACTTCTAATTATGTCTTGAATCATGAAATTAAAATTTCTAATAGAAGCAACAAAAATAGCATACCTGCAAGAGAAATCTTACAAGATTTTTATAAGAACAAAAGCCCTCAGTAATTTAAAAGTATGTTATGTTTATGGGATCTTCAGAAAGTCTTAACTGTCCTTTATTATATAAATCCTTAGCAAACTTATATAATAATAGATTTATTTTAAAACACAGATATAAACTGTCTTCTACATGTTCCCTTGGTAATATATTTATCCATTATTCTGACCAAAAAAAAACAGAAAAAGAAAAAATTTTCCAAATTATTTCTTTGTGTGTTTTTCTATAGCACATGGCTGGCAGCTTCTTTGAAGTATAGATCATGTCTGAGTAATTTCATTGTCTTTTCATCTAGTGGTTGTTGGATAAATTAGTAAACCTACTACAATAGTCATCAAAAGGTTATAGCCCAGAAAAAAGGTCATTTCATACAGCTCCATATTTGCTTTATAACATATCTTTAATTGGAATAATTCAAAAAAGTACATCAAGTCATATATTGATGTCTATTCTTGAAAATTTAAGTCTGCAAGAGATAGTATAGATGTTTGAAAGATGTTATCCTTCCCTATCTGGGTAGTATACAAGGGCTGTATTGAGAAGGATGATACCTATATATCTTTTCCTCAATCAGCACATTTCATCTCTTTTGACTTTTTTAAACTATCAGTTCAGAATCTCTTTTATGGCAATTCTACCAGTTGACTCTAGGTTCCCAATCTTATCAGCAGGGGTCAAATAGAAATAAGTTAACGGTTTTCTCATACTCCACCATCACTCCTGGATTGTGCTAAGCTGACAGAGAGTTGTTGAAATGTTCTCTTCTGAACAAAATTGAGAAAAAGTAATGATTACACAATATGAGACTATTCCTTCACCTTTACAACAGGTACATCCTCATTGATTCCAGGAACTGTAATGCCGCCTCTTTAGGATTTTTTCAACTCTTTCTTCCATTCTCATTTTGTTAAAAATGGGGTGAAGACTCAATAAAAATCATTAGAACTTTCCCATATAATGTGTCTGATTATGGGCATTCATTGCAGAATGTCACTGACTCAGGCCTCACACTTATTCAAGAGTTGAACCTCAGAAGCCACAGTCAAGATGCCTCAGAGGTATGTGAGAATTTCTATAGTGATATAAGATTTACATATGGAACAGTGCTGTCCCATCCTTTATCCATCCCAAGGTGTTCCTATTTACATCTCTGCTGCCTGAGCTCTCTAAAAATGCTGGCTACCACCATCAGGGGTAGCCACCCTGTTAGAGGTTTCTTTGTGCCTTCAGGGAACTCCAGCTCTCATCTGTCCTGTAGGGAAGTGACTGGAATTTTCACTCTCTTGCTCTCTAAATCTTTCCTTGTGTGCTGGTTTCAAACCATGCTGATTCAGACCCCAGTTAACATGGCTGACCATTAGTTTGTAATCAGTATATTTCTAGGGCTATTTCCTGCCTGATTCTTTTAATTGAATCTTAAAAACATTCCAACAGTCTGATCAGCACATTGAAATCACTAAGCCATTTTTCCCAAACGCATAGCTGTATTCTTGTTTAACTAGAAAGCTCATAAGTAGGTAATATATCTAGGGAGATATACTCATAAGAATTATAGTCTGGTAGTACTTATTGGCCAAAGTCAAAATGGTACCTCCCTGTTGTGAGAATACCCTTCTTCAGTACATGTTAGGAAATAGTGGTATTTCTATTTCCCTCCAACATGAGTGCTAGTACTCCCTGAGCACCTTAAAAGAGATTCCATAGAACTGTCCACTCTGTGAACCCAGAGGGAGGAACCTCCGGTAGAATGTCTCTAAGGAGGTGACAGGGAATATGAGAGAAACATACTCTTCCAGAAATTGTAAGGAGTCCAAAAGCTTGTAGCAGTATGAAGGCCAGGGTTAAATTCAAGTAGCCCAAGGTAGTGATGGAGGAGATGATAAAAATGGCAATCAAACTAGTTAATTTCAGCCTCCATTTATGGAGTTTTGTGTAGCTATCAAGAATAAAATCATTAATAATAATCATTCAATCATGAAATTGAATTTTATAAAGCAATAAGAATGGTCTTAACTACATAACAATATGTTTACAATATTTTTCACTGTTTGTATCATAGATTTTGGTGTATTTAATGAGTCTCACAAAAATGTTACATGAAATAAGTCTGACAAATAAATTCACAATACATAAAAAGTTCATATAGTTATCAATATTGACTACTTTAATAATTATCTTCATTTAAAATTAATCTCCAAGTCACTGAATTTTTAGGTTATGTAATTATCACACTTCTCCATTTGTACAAAATAAAAGAGGCAGGCAAAACTGATACATGCTGTTAAAAATTGAAATAATAGCTACACTTAGAGAAGTTGGAGAATAACAGACAAACGTGAATAGCGATGATAGTGGTCTGTTTCTGGATCTTAGTAGTGTCATGTGCTTATGTTCAGTTTGTGAAAACAGAGCTACACCTTTACTATATATGCACTTTTCTATTTATATAGTATATTTTGGCATTTTTCTTTACTTATTATTTTCAAGTAGGTCTTGTGCTTTTTGCCCAGGCCAGCCTCAGGCCACGATCCTCCTCCTTAGGCCTCCCCAAGTCTGGGAACACAGGCATGTGCCAACATTCCTGGCTTACTTGTTGAAATGAGATCTCACTAACTTTTGCCCTGGTTAATCTCAAACCACAATCTTCCTGATTTCTGCCTCCCAACTAACTGGGATTACAGGTATGTATCACTATTCCTGGCTAAAAACCTTTAAAGAAATAAAAGCATAGAGAATGAAATGGAAAGTCCTAATCAGACATATCTTAAATCCATACTTTTCTCCAGAGTAAACCATTAGGGAGAGTTTTATGTGTAATCTTCCAGCCCTTTTTATTGCATACCTTTATGTATAAATAGTTGTCACCTACATATGATAACTTTCATTCCAATCCCCACAAATATGCATTTCTCTTTTAGCATTGCAGTCAGTGAATTCACATTGGTAGCAGGAAACCGGCTACAGTGAATGTACTTACATTGTGGACTCGAGGAAATATTATAAACAAGAGTTTTTATCTGAGACCAAGTTGATGCTTTCTAAATTTTTATTCTTTCAAAAAATAATTAATGAAACAAAAATATTGTACAGATTGAATATTTTGTTTCAATCTGTCAAATCATCCAAAATTTGTAGTGGAAAGTCTGATAACCAAGCAAGTTTTGATACTGAGCAGGAGTTCTTTTGCTTACCTTCATCCTCTGCAGTATGGAAACTTTCTCTCTATTATATTAAAGATGGCAAACCCTCTCTATGTCAGGCTCTCTATGAATGGGTTGCCTGAATAAAGTGTGTACCAAACCTAAGCTCTTTGACACTGTAGAACAGTTTCCCCATCTCCCCACGTAAGGGCAAAATCAAGGGTGGAAGTAAATATGTATAGAAGTTTCAACTAAAGTCCTTTTCCAAAACAAAGTAGGATAGCCATAGAGCACAGTTCAGAGACAGTGAAGTAGAATAAGGATTTTGTCAGAGATTGAAAGAGTGAGCAGTGAGAGTGAGTTTGATAATTAATATAATAACTAACATCAAATGAACAACTTACTTGTTAAGAGTTGTGTCCATTATTTCACTTACCCTCACTATGCAGTTGACCACAAATTATTATTGGCTACAAATGTGGAAAAAAAATCTGAATAAGATTATTAATTTGACCAAGATCAGATAACAATGTTTGAAGGAGAGAAACAGAGGGGGAAGAAGGAGGAGAAAGAGGGAAGGGGGGGAGAGAGAGAGAAAGAGAGAGAGAGAGAGAGAGAGAGAATACATAAAAAAGAGGAGAAGAATAAGAAAAACCATTTGAGTTAATAAACCATATATATAAAACTCTGTATAGCCCTAATATTTAGTGAAATGTTCTGCAGATTAAGCTCAGGAAAGAGTTGCAAATTGGCTATTTCTGATATACATAACACACACATTCAGAAAAAAGATCCAACTAGTATTTAAATTTACTTATAACTAATGGCATGAATTCTAAGCATATAATTTATTTTGAAGCTCTAACTGTCTCAAGATGCTTGTTTTAATGACTGTACAATATTCATCTTCTTTTGATTTAGAGTATAAACAGACTAATAAGGAATGAACATTTTTGTGGGGAGTTGATGGCCAGGCCTCCTCATCAATTGTGCTCCAAACTGCCCTTGACATTAGAAAACATTATATTGTTTTTGTTAGTCCATGTTCCTGTTCAATGGTTACATTCTTTATAAAGTTAAGTCTACCTAACAGTTACCTAACTTGTTCTTTAATAACCAAAGTTATAGTAAATGTAAAAGTTCCAGAGCAATTAATTTCAGTTTTACATAGTTAATTTTATATCATCTTCCTCATGGTCAGCTTTAATTGTGTGCATTGTAACTTTTGTATCCTGGTTCTGATTTTAGGTTATATAAAATTAATTTAACCCCACTTATCATATCCAAACCTCAAATGACTGAAGACATTTATATAGTCATTAATTACATTTCATCTTCCTTTTACTAAACATTCCCACATCCTTTTCCATATAATGTATTTTTATCTTTCATTTGCATTCTATTCTGGCACTCACCACTAGAATTGCTCTAGGATTTTTAGTACTCTGTTTTCTTTCTTAGAACTAAATGCAAGATTCCAGGTGACTTTTGACTAGTTACAAAGCATCTCTCTTGTTTGTAATTATATTTGTTCACTCTTGCAGTTTAATTTAATCATCACAACCAAAAGCATGTCCCTCTCTCTCTAGGGAAAGATATCCTACTTTCACCAAGTAAGCAAAGATAACATTATCTTTATCACTTTTATTCCAAACACAGTTTGATTATAAACCACACACAAAGCTAAGGCAAATGGAGAGTATGTTTTCTTAAAACTACATCTGTTTTTAAAAATAAGTTCTGCTCATCTTTATTTTATGATTGAATTATTTACATCGGTATATGTATGGTAGAATTAAAGTGTAACTTACTTGGAAACTGTGCGTGCTTTCTAATACCTTACTTCTTTGTATGCTCAGTTAAAACTTATTAATGTAGATCCTCGTGACCTGCCACTTTCTGGCAGCTACAACACTCTAAGAACTTAATTTGAAGTTTTCCCACCCAACCCTGGTATGGATCCTCTACTCTTAATGGTTGCCTTGGCCAAGGTCCTTCCATTCAGGTATCTTTCTCCTACTTACCTTGAGCTTCCTTCCTTTTTACTTCCCACCCTTTCTCTTCCTTTCTGGCTTGTTGGAATTTTTGATAGCTATCAGCATTGCTCAAGACAGAAAGAACCCACAGCTGCTATGGAGCAGAGGGGCTTTGTATATGTCACTGATTTACTTCAGGGAAGGCTGGAGGACAACTTTACCTCCCTTGGGTTGAACTTGGTAAAGAACTGGAATGAGTGTGTTTGGGGGAGTCATCCCCAATCTACATCAAAGACTCAATACTGTTTATACATCATGTTGTGCTGCAATAGACATAGAATCATAAATTTTTCAGTGACTTTAAAATAGTCTTGACATGTTTTAAAATCTCTATACCAAAATAATTTTTGGCTCAACCTCTAGAGAAGTTGTCTTTGTCCTTCTCCTTGTACATTATTCTCCATGCCTACCAGAATGATATTTGTCTAGCTCGCTGAACAAGAAAGCCAGTCATAACTTGAAGGTCACACCGAAACTTAATTGTATTGAAGTATAATTTCAGAAAAAAAATAAAACAGCATCTAGTCACAGAAAGGACAAAGGAGGGAAACTGGAAAAGTTCAAATAATGATTGTATAATCTCATGGGTTTATAAGAGAAAGTTGGGGGTAGAAGTGTTAAGGCTCTTCTAGGGTAATTGCTATGCATTTTCAAGTACACAGTGGCAGGAAATGAAGCAGACTAGAAAGGTATGCATACAAGTTTGATTAAGTCGTGATTTGGGCTTTACAGAATTCTCTACCTAACCATGGGCAAGGGGAAAGCCACTTAACTGTTCTGGATCTGTTTTTTCCATCTGTGAAACAAAGAGTTAAAAATAATTCTTCCAGTTCTTTAATGAATTATTCTAAGAAAAATATTCCCAAACACAATTCTTGAGCA